CACAATTTTTTCTTTCATCAGTTAGCTGAATTCATTTCGTCATGATAGTCATTCGATTTGGAGTTAGACCTGAACAGCAGCAGTCCGTTTTCAACAAACCCAGTTTTACCTCCACCATGGGCTATTATCCATCTTGCACCGACGCTATCAGAAGCAAGAATACCAGGCTGTTCCTTCGATTGCCAACATTTTTGAAGGTGGTATGAAGCATGTATTTACGTTTCGTCAACATAAATTACCGGTCGATATTCTTCCTGACGATTCTTGCGCAACCTCAGAATATATTTTGCTCTCCAAGCTGCAATATCACTGCGTTCTACCAATACTTTTCGTTTAGACTGGCACCTTTTGTATTTGTAGCCCATAGTCTTTAAAATACTCCTCAACGATGTTCTGCCATATTTAAAACCAATATCAGTTTTCAATTCCAACCAAAGTTTATTTATGGTAGGAATCTCCTTCTTCACGACGTAAAATGATTGAATTAAATGCCTTATAGCGCACATATCGAAATCGTCTAAATCATAAATTTTTTTCCTTCGGTTCCTAGTTTTTCCCGGCGTCACAATTTTAGAAGATGAAGCTTCTGCTATATTACCCTCTTGACTTATCTGGGTGACGGTGCGTTCAGAAACACCTAAAACAAAATAAAAACAATGCATTACAAATACATGATATTAATGACACGAGGAAATTAAAAAGGAACAAATAGAGAAAATTGGGGAATTTTATTGTAATGGCATCCCTAAAAATTACCTGTTAAATATGCAACGCGGGCTCTAACTTTGGAAAACGGTACTATAGGCCCGTTATTGTCTCGTTCTTCTTCACAAGCACGTTTGACCTTCAAAATAACATCCCTGCCAGCACTTTTAATCACTTTCGGCATAATGATAACGATTAATTACTGCAAAAAAAGAATAAAAACAGGACACCTACCACTCTGTTTAGACACTTGCCATAAACAGTAAGATGGCGGCACACGATTAGTTCCAATTTTGGCCGCGCGCAGAGTTATCTTGCGCGCACTCTAGTATAGTAGTAGCTAGTAGTAGTAGTAGAGAGTAGAAGTAGTAGTAGAGTATAGTAGTAGTAGTAGTTAGTAGAGGCCCGGTCAACTCTGTATGGACAGAATGAAATACCTACGGGGGCTGAATTTTATTATTGCCATTTTTCAGATAAATGTCTTGTTTCATAATTAGTAAGATTTTGCTAAAGATAAATTACACTCAAAAATTTTGAATACAGAAATAATAATCCATAGGAAGATAACTATGCCTGTCGTATTTTACATTACTACATTATTATATTAGCATATCCTTGACAGTAAAAGAAAAATAAATGTTTTCTTTTTGTTTTGATTTTCAATGAGTAGAAAATTATATTTTTTACTGGTAGCACCAAAATACCTAAATGAGTATATAATTCTCATTTCTCATATTCATATAGTCAGTAATCTATGCATTTCTCATATTCTCATAATATGGCGTTGGCGCCGCCGTATAAATTAATGTTGTTCATGATTGGTTGTTATGTTTGTTTTGCTTGTGTCTTTTTTAAGATTTTGCAAGTTTACGATGTTGAGTTCAGATTAATGTCCTTCGTTTATATGATGTGCAATGTGTTAGTCAATGATTTGTAGTGAAATACGAAATAGTGACTTAAAAACTACGGTGCAATGGCGGATAAAGAAAATAGAAAAAGTGTTCTAAGTGCAACAGCATACCAACCATTGACAACATTAAATTATTTAGGTTTCCGAAATTCGCAGTAAAGTATATTTTGCTGTACGTATACAATATACATATACACTATTTAATAAGTTCTAACCTTAAAGTAAATCTCTTGTCCAACTTATTGTTTCTCTTTTACCATTTAAAAACAAATTATTGGTTTGTAAACCATTGGACCTACTTTGATAATATTTGTATTTAATAATTATATCTTTTGTTTTCAGCTGTAAATTATGGGCGAAATATTATATTCCTTCTCAAGAGCAGTATACTACTTTAGCTTTTCAGACAAAGCTACATAATAAGCCCAGAATGCTGTGTGAAAAACATTTTCATGATGGTTAATTTAATGATGCAACCAAGAAAAAGCTCTTAAGAACTGCAGTCCCATGTGATGTAAGTAAAGTGTATAATGTATATGGTAATATGGTATGTATATAGTTTTCTTTAAGGATTACTCAGATATTTTATATGGGGATTACTATATTCAGGAGTGAACTTTGATAGACTGTAATGAAGATGATGATGATTATTTATATGACCATCATCTGGATCTAACATGGATGGACAGACCACATACAGTAGTTTGAATCCTGTTAATTCTTTCAACTAATTTATAATAATTGGATCGGACAAAGCATCCAAAGGATTGAAGTCTATAAAGTTAGCACAAGCCTTTCCTTACATTATTAAAAGTGCAACACACTGCATATTATTTTTAACAAATTTTATTTTAAAACAACAACAAACCTTAAGAAAGTTCCGGCATCACAATATATGAATAATTACATTTGGTCCTAAACCTATTAAATTTAAAGGCACAACTTGTACAACACAGTAGAAATACATGCATCAAATCGTTCTCAAACAATAGATAAACACAAGATTTCTTTTCACATAGTTATTGTATTATATAGCAAGTTGGATGAACAAGATCCATTCATTTATTTTGTATTGGTAGAAGGGTAATGTAGTGCCATGAGTAGGGACTGGTTTACTATGAAAGTAATAAAAATGAATATAATGTTAATTTAATTTTATATAATAATTTATGATACTATAATTTATTTCAGTTTTTATATATTTCCAGACTAACAAAGTGTATTCCCATTTTATTGTGTGGAATCACAAGCTGGTCCCTCGCAAATTATTGCTGCAAAACCACAAGCAGGATCTTCAAAAAGGACAATGTTATATCCACTGAAGAACAACCACAAACATCAAAGCATAACACATAATGTTGAACCTGAAAAAGAAAGTACTCTATATGAAAAATTTTAAAATGAAATAAGGAATATTTTTGTAATCTAATATTTAATATGTTTTATAATTTTGATTTAAACTTATTCTATTTATAAGCTGCATTCAATACTTAATATATTGCATATAATATAGAGACAAAATTTTTAGTGTCAATTCATGGAAATAGATAGACAACCAAATATTATCAAAACAAAATTATTATTTGTGAATGTTGCACTTGCACTTGTGTGTAGGAGCGTATTTATTAATTAACTTGTTTTTGATTAAAATATTGATATTTTGGTTATTGTAGACATTCTGTGATTTGTGATTGTGCATATTATCAATTCATCCATGATTGTAAATCTTATTTAAATTGTTTATCATTGTTTACTTAAGTAATTGAAATGTTGTAATCAATATTGATTTTCTTTTCATGTTTAAACCCATCAAATGTCTTTATAGAGAGAACTAAGCTGCTGGAGAAATTTTGTTTCTTAAGTTATGTATGTTTTTTATTTTAATTTGTATTTTTATTTTGAATAAATAAATAGAAATTTTGTGATTTTTGTTCTTTTATTTAGCGCTGGGATAGGCAACCCAAAAATACCTCAAATAAAAAAAACAAAAAGACCACATTAAAATTTTCCCGCCACACGAGAAGTGCAGGAGGCTGACGATAGATAGAGCTAGTGGTTATATAGCTCATTTCATAAATTTTGTATGAAGTTGTTCTCCGATAGGAGTAATCACAGAGTACCTTGGAGTAATAGTGTTCTGTGGTAGGCATGTCGATTCACTCTTAAAAAAATCGATTTGAATCGAAGGTACTCAAATCGATTAAATCGAGGAATAAAAGATCGATTTTCGATTAATCGCGACATTTTCAAACGTGAAATTTCAAGAATTTTCGATTTTTTTTCTTTAACTTCTAAACTGTAATATTTTTTTTCAAATAAAATATTAGTAATCTTATTGATTAAATTTACTAATATTTCTTTTAACCACTCCTGGTAAGCTTGAAACGCTTGTGTTAGGAGTGGTTCGCACATACTTCGCTCGATCCCTTTTTTTACAAAGTGATTCCACGTAACACTTTTATTTGACATTTTAGGCTAATAAACAACAACAATACTTTTACAAAAGTGCAAACTGCAACGTACGTTTCTCGATAAATCTGTTTCAATCTAATAACTCACTATTTATCTTATTAAAATGAATGCTACACGAACACAATACTGGTTATTTCCTTACTATAAACCTCTATAAACTTCAACGTACGGTATAATATTTTTTACAGTATCTAGGTATTTAAAAACTACTCTGTCTGTACTTACAGCTCACAGTATGTATATTTTTGATAATAAATAATATAAATTCACAAGTTCACAGTTCAAACAGGTTCACAGCTATAATATTATATTATAGTACAAGAGGTGAAATATAATATGAAAATATCGCTCGGTCGATCGAAAAAATATTTATAGTTTGGGATGTAATATATTTACACCTCAGTGGAAACGGTTCTATTTAAAAGTACGGTGAGCGATATTAATTTATATCTCGAGATGTAATATTAAATTACATTATATCCCTTAGTGAAAAGTGGGCTTAAGAATTTTAGAAATGAAAATGAAATGACAATTTTTCGATATTGTTGGATGTGTTCATAAACATTTATTTTATTCAAATATATATTGCTTTCAAATTATCAACCAAGTACGACCGGCTGTTTTTGCGTCCCCAACAGCAAAAATTTTAAAATACTGTGGTATCTTACCCCAGCTAGTTTGGGAATTTTAGCTAGTTCTTGAATCAAATGAATCAGTCCGATTCAATAGGTTTTTGGATCGATTCAGTGAATCGATGCGGTGCTTCGAATCGATCTAAAAAATCGATAATTTTGCTCCAAAGAATCGATTTATCGATTTTAGATCGACATGCCTATTCTGTGGTTAGTAGTCGAGTGGTCGAGGTGTAGAAATTTAAATAATAACTAGAAAATCTTAAACTTTGTAAATAAATATGACTGTGTTGTATAATTTATGTGATATTTTTGATAATTTATGCCAACAAACTACTTTAAGCTTACCACCATTAAAGCACAACTACTTGAAAATTGAATTTGAAAATAGTGATGTAAGCAGATGTAAGATTATTTATTCATCTAAAATTGAAAGGTTATGAATGTTATAATCATTTGATATTTTGAGACGTTTTGGATTTGTAATTTAAGACGGTAATAACGGAACGGAAATATACTAGTTTAAGTTTATAGAAATAAAGATTATTTTATGTAAAAAAAAGAATTAAAAACAAATTGGCATTATTAACCGCAAATGTAATATTCTCTATTTACATTAAATGATTTTTACTTCAATATACATAGTGGATTTTTTTTCAAAAGTATTCTTACATATTTGCTTGATTTGTACCATTAAACCAATAATGGTTTGCATTGGTACTCACATTCGCAACTAACGCACTGCTTTACATAAATATTTAATTAATTTACTAAAAGTTAGAAAAAATGTATATACATATAAATATACCTTCTTTATTATGTAAGTGGTAAGCACCAATTTGCAATTATCACCTGGGACAGTTCGACAAACCGGTTCTATTAGGCAGCGCAAACTACTTAACTTTATACAGGCTGTTTCACTATTATACAAACTAAATTATAACTATGATTCTGATTGATTTTATAAAACGAAGTTCTTTATATTGTGTAATAATATTTTTTGAGTTTTTGTTTATAGTTTTTTGTGTTTAAATCTTTTTGAATGTTTTGCGGGATGTTGTTTATAAGAGTTGGGATTAAAAATTCAATTGTTCGCCTACCATATATTGAGATAAATGTAATTATGAGATACGGGTACCTGGATGCTTTTATTATTGAAATTGTACAATTAATAGGGTCATGTGAAGTTTCATCTGCATAGGTAAAATACTACAGTAATTGAAAATGTCTAATACATTTTATTTATATTATTTTCTTTATATTCTTTATATTGATTGATATGATATTCTGTAAATATTATGTAATGTCTCAAATTGTTTTATCATAATCATTACAATTAAAAGTTCACAGCTTAACATCCTCCAATTTTCTAAGAAAAATGTTTTTACAAATTTTGCACTGAAAAAGAAAATTCAAAGCTTTTAAAAAAATCTGTAATAATATTTGCTAACTATACTTATATTGGCTCAGTTAATGTAAAATTTGTTCATCAAATCAACAAAAAACTTAATTCACAAATGTACAAAAGGTGTACACAAGGTTAAAATTAGTGGAAAGAATTTAGTTTTTTTTTAAATCATCTTGGGTTCTACTTGGGACACAATGTTTTTGGACGGCTGAATTTTTTTCGTCTATTAATACCAGACACATTGTATATATTAGTTTATTAGCGGTACATGAGGATTTCTTTTTGTTATAGAATTAGGGTGATAAACACAGTCCACCTGATGGTAAATGAATGCTGTGGCCCATAGACATCTAAATTTATCCTCAATTAACCATCAAAATACAGATGCATTGTTACTCCTGAGGACTAATGTTCATAATGAATGAGACCTATGTTCAGTAGTGGACTAGTGAAGGGCTGTAATGATGATGATGATGATGAAAAGAAGCAAGAGAGATGTGTACGGATGGTTCAAATGGAAGTTTGTTGTCTATGTCTACTCCTTTGTGTGACAGATGTCTGTTTATGTATTGTTTGCATGATTTCAGAATAATGAGACTGTTTATCACGGTCAAGCACCAACACTACCTTTTGCTGCAAGTGAAGTGTATGATGTGCCTATGTGCAATTGGAGACATCTTACAGTAGAACATGCAGATTGCAAAGCTGTTTATGAAGTGACATTTGATATTTCGGTATGTATTTTTCATAATTGGTTTGTTATCCTTATAACTGCCTCGTTGGTCTAGTGGTTGTAGTAGTGCGACTGCTGATCATGAGGTCCTGGGTTCGAATCCTGGGTCGAGCCAAAAAATTCTCAGTAACTGCCGGGAGTCAGGAAGTTGGTGGTGTCTCACCCCCATGCTTCGGAAAGCACGTAAAGCCGTTGGTCCTGCGCCTGATCTCTCTCCCGGTCGTGTCGGTTTACCGTCCCATCAGATTACAAGAGTGAGGGAACAGAGAGTGCCTGTGCTTGTGCATACACTTGGGCACTGTAATCCTGTCCTGCGCCGATGGCTAGCTTCCGTTGCGGCAGGCCGCCGTGACCGAAATTCGGTCAGGAGGACATTATTCTCCTTATTTCAATTTTAATTATACCTTGAAATTTTATGAGGTAGAAGTATACTTTATCTATACAAATAAATAAAATTGAAGTGTCTGTTTGTAATTTCAAGATAACGGCTTTTCACTAAATGCATATGAAAGTTTATACAGTACTTACTTATAACAAAAAAAAAAAACAATTTTATAAATTTTTGTCTATCTGTTTTATTTCCGCCTAATCTCCCTAACGGCTGGATCGATTTTAATGGGACTCACTGGCAGATAGTTGATGTTATAAGGAGTAATTTAAAGGTTCCGTGCAAAAAAATTAAAACCCATAAAATTATATAGTAATAAATATAAATAATTTTTTTTATTTAGATACATATATTAGAAGTTATACTCCTGTGCATATTTTTTACATTATCATTTACAATATATATTTTTTGTACTATTTTTGGTAACTTAAATTTACATTTTTAAATAAACATCTTTTTTTTTCTAAAAACTAGTAAACAATTGAATATTGACTAAATCATTAACTGCAATTTTCCAGAGTACAAATTTGTCTTTCTGTCCGGGTGACACAATAGGTCTGATACCGAAGAACCTTGACGCTGAAGTTGATTTTGTAATTGATCATCTGGATCTGACTTCAATTGTAGACTGTAGTTACACTATAACTGTTGACCATGGTCAGAAGGGTGCTAGGACACCAGCTCATGTTCCAGTTAAGTCAAGATTAAGGCATGTGCTTACACATTGTGTTGATATAAGGGCTGTCGTAAAAAAGGTGAGTTATACATTGTTAAATTATTGTTCTGTTTTCTTATTGGCGAGCGGGTTGGCAATCGTAGTTTTTATTGCTTTTTATTGGTATCGGGAAGATGTTGCTGCCCAACTTCTGTCTCAGTTTCCCTCTGCCGCCTCTCCAGTGCTGTTCTTTGGCTTTTGTCATTATAATAAGGATTTGTGTTAGGTTTCACCTACTTCTGGCACCAAGCAGCAAAGCAGCTATGTGTGTAAAAAGTCAGTTTTACACACATAGTAGTAAAAGTAAAGTAAAGTTACAGCCTATATACGTCCCACTGCTGGGCTCAGGCCTCCCCTCATTTCTGAGAGGGTTTTGGGCAAGGAAGTGTCCGCCGCGCTGCCCAAATGCGTGTTGACGAACTTCACATGTCTTCGAAATATTTTTCTTATTCCTCAGACATGCAGGTTTCCTCACGATGTTTTCCTTCACCGCCGAGCACGTGATAAATCAGCACTTAAAATTGCAATTAACAATTTCATTGGTGCCGGCGGGGATCGAACCCGGGTTACTCTCGCGTTACACACATAGGATTGGAAATATTCCGTTTTAGCCCTGTGTATAGAGTGATGAAAGGTAACATGCAATGTAACGTGAAAGGCGCACTTAACCAGTGTGGACGCAGGACATACGAGGGTGGATTGAAAAGTACTCGGCCTAACACAGATCCATTCAATTCCAAAAATCAAATCTACCCACATTATTTAGTTCAGTTCAGACTAGTTCATTGTGTGAAGTTCGAAACGTGTGCGATAATTAGTTGTGATTTTATAAATTTATTAACAAAGTAATCGGACATAATTTCCGCGAATGGAACAAATCGAGCAGCGTGCCGTCATTAAGTACCTCCATAAGAAGGGGCTATCATCAAAAGCCATCCATGATGACATGGTCAGTACATTAGGCGATTGTGCTCTGTCATATTCATCCACCAAAAAATGGATAGCAGAATTTAAGCGTTGTAGAGAGAGTGTGAAAGATGAACCCCGCTCTGGAAGGCCTTCGACGTCAACTACTGACGAAAATATTAAAAAAGTACTTGATTTAATAATGGGAGACCGCAGATTAAAAATTAGAGAGATAGCCGAAATTATAGGCATCTCTTATGAACGAACTCAAAACATCATTGTCAACGAGTTGGGTTTCCACAAGGTGTCTGCGAGGTGGATTCCGCGACTGCTTTCAGTTGAACAAAAAAGGACGCGATTGACTATTTCACGCGACTGTTTGGAGTTATTTGAAGCTGATGCAGATGATTTTTTGAATCGTTTTGTTACTATGGACGAAACATGGGTTCATTACTGTACACCGGAAACAAAACAACAATCAAAACAGTGGAGAAGACCTGGTTCACCACCCCCTAAAAAGGCTAAGTCGATTTTGTCGGCAAATAAGGTGATGGCTTCAGTATTCTGGGACTCGAAAGGTGTGATTATGATTGATTATCTTGAAAGGGGTCAGACTATAAACTCTGATTACTACTGCACCTTACTACGTCGTTTACGAGAGGAAATAAAAGAAAAACGTCGAGGAATGCTCAGAAGAAAAGTCCTGTTTCATCAAGATAACGCCCGTGTTCACACGTCGGTACAGTCAATGGCTGAAATTCACAACTGTGGCTTTGAACTGTAACCGCATCCGCCGTATTCACCTGATCTGGCACCATCAGACTTCTTTCTGTTCCTTAACCTAAAAAAGCACTTGGGAGGTCAAAGATTTTCGACAAACGACGAGGTCAAAGCAGCTGTAGACGCATATTTTGACTCTAAGGAAGAATCATTTTTTTTCAACGGTCTAAATGCTTGGAAGGGGAGGTGGCAAAAGTGTATTGAACTTGATGGTGATTATGTAGAAAAATAAAAATATAACTGATTTAGTATGTGTTTATTTTCTTGGTTAGGCCGAGTACTTTTCAATCCACCCTCGTACACAAACCGAACACGTACCTACTCGCATGTGTTTCCGGTTCCGGCGTGCGCGCGAACATAGCGTCAGTCTTCAGAGAATACGCAAAGAGAATGGAGTGTGATGACCGATTGCTGACTCTGAGGTCTTAAAAAAGTGCCGAAAACGTCGATGTTGGTGGTGTACAGAGTTGTATAGACAGAAAGCTGGTGCAGAACTAATGAATGACATGTGATTTCAGCACGTGTTAAGTTCGTGTTTGCGTGCTGCTTTGTGTTTGTTCAAAAACAGACAAATCGCAGATCGTTACGCGCGCGGCTTTTAATGCACGTAGCGTGCGCATGAACGTTCAACATGCAGAAGAAACAGCGTTGGTGATAGCATGCAACCTTCTGAAACATCAGCGTTAATAGGCGGAGCATGCACCGTCTAATACGACCTTGGTGCTCCTATCAGCCAGATAACTCTTATCCAATTTCTCGGGAAGCCCATAGGAAGGAGGCTTCGTAAGAAACGCGTTGTGCCGAACCTGATTGAAGGCCTTCGCTAAGTCCACACTAAAGCCTCCCCTTTACTTGACCTAGACTTGACTGCCTGAGCTTATCGTTTTGTTAGGTTTTTTTATAGCATTGGGTGACAAACGAGCACACAGTCCACCTTAGGCCCGGTTTACATTTTGAGAAGTGACAAGTGCGAGTGGCAAGTGTAACCACTAGTGCGTGTGAACAAGCAGTGACAAGTGGCAAGTGAGAAGTGATAAGTGCGTATTTTATTTCAACTTAACCGTGCCTAATGCCTTAGGCCCGGTTGACATTTTGAGTAGTCACAAATGCGAGTTGCAAGTGCAACTGACAAATGACAAGTGCATAGTTCGTGTGAACAGGCAGTTATGGTAAGTGAATGCTGCGGCCCATAGATAACCACATATGCGCGCGCACGACGTCCAGACTATGAAAATTTGTTATAAACTGTGTTACATTGCATGATACATTGCTCTAATGTGGATGGCAAATTCTTTCATTACATGTTACGTTGCGTAAGACTGTACGCGGCATAAGAGGTGACCATGAATCTGAATGAATGAATGACCATTTGTGTTTGAAGTTGATTTCAGTTGTCAATTAACTGTAAGTAAACAATTAGAGCGTTTTTTATCAGAAATGCTATTAAAATTACTAATGTGCACTTTAATCACTCTTGGTAATTAAAGTTGGAAAGAATTACCTTCGCACACATCCACTCAATAAAATAAAATTATGTATGGGTCTTACCTAGTTTGAAGAACTACCCCCGCCCTCCCTCGATTGGGCTAATATTTCCAATATGGACCATCGATTTCAAAGCCCATATTTTTTTTGTAGATAGTACTCACTAAAAGAAAGCGTTTTGCAAAGTTTTAGGTTGCGGAAACTTACGGTTCATGAGATATATTTTTTAAACTTTTCATACAAATTGGTAAATAACACACAATTACAAAATAAATTTGACAAATGATTGATGTCAAACGTCAGTCAGTGTAGGGTTCCGAATATTTTGAAAGTATCGATACCTACTCGATACCAAGTATCGTATCAAAAGTATCAATACTACTTGGTATCGAGTACATTTCGTTAATTTTGGAGACGAAAAATTATGACAAACCAATTAGATGCATAGGAAGAGCTGATAAGTGCAATTATATATGTTTATAAAGTAGAATAAAGTTTACACTATTTAAGTTCCACCTTAGTACTTGTATTTCATTGTTTGCAACTTGTTTGTATTTCTTAATTAGTACAGCTTTTGTACTTTTATTTTATTTTTTTCAACTTTCTGTATTATCTAATTCTTACTACAATAAAGTGTTTACTTACTTATTGACTTACTTATTTAATATCCAAAAAGTACCCAAAACCGAATCAGAGCACCCCACTATCCACGTGGTCTTGTCTGCCCTACCCCTAGAGTTTTTATTTTGTAATTGGTGTAATTGCATGTTATTTGCCAATTTGTATGAAAAGTTTAAAAAAAATCTATCTCATGAACCGTAAGTTTCCGCAACATAAAACTTTGCAAAACGTTTTCTTTTAGTGAGTACTATCTACAAAAAAAATATTGGGTCTTTGAAATCTATGGTCCATATTGGAAATATTAACCAAATAACATTCTTTATGGATTATGTAACAGGTTTAATCGCTATGTCATTGTTTTAATTAAATAATTCAGATGTCTTTTTTTTAAGATAATTGATAGAATCAGGCGTTACTTTGCGAAAATCCATTACAATAAGGACATTAATTAATTCGCAACCATGCGCATAAAAATACAATGATGTGTATTACCTGGATTGAAGAGCACCTCCCGCCCTCCTTCAATTGTGTGCACTAATCCCGTCACCATCAATCCCAGCACCACTACTCCCCCGGCACCACTATTTCAGGAAAGACACACCATCGACGACAATACGGCACGTGTTTCGCCTCTACACGAGGCATCTTCAGGTGATGTAGACTCTACGGCGGCTGACCGCTAAGTGAGCGGCGAACCAAAACGGCTGCTATTTATGGCGGTTGTGTCGGCGTGTATGTATATATAATTATATATATATAATATATATATATATATATATATATATACTATTAAGGATATGTAAAGAAAATCTAAGCAACATGCAAATAGTACTCCCTTTTTTGGCGAAATTTTGCAGTTGTATAATTATTTACTTTGCATTTTACATTTTATACATTATCTATAAATGAGTTCTTTACCACTAAACTTCATCTATGTCTATCACTTAAACTCATTTATTTAGTTCCCAAACCATGTTAAATATATTTTTTTATTATAAAAATGCAATATACGAGGGTTGATCCAAAAGTAATGATAATGAAAATAAAACACGGTAATTAAAGTTAAAATAATAATTTATTTTTCTACATAGTCTCCTAACAAATTAATACACTTAGTCCATCTTTTTTCTAAACCCAGGATTCCCTTTGAAAAAAGACCCTCCCAAAACGCTTCAACAGCGGCCATTACTTCGCTATCGTCTTCGAATTTCTTGCCTCGGAGGCGTTCCTTGAGCCGAGGAAAGAGGTAGAAGTCACTAGGAGCTAGATCTGGCGAATAGAGAGGGTGTTCGAGCAGTTCGAATCCCGTTTCTTAAATGGCAGCCATAGCAACTGCGGCTTTGTGAGCCGGTGCGTTGTCTTGGTGAAACAGCACTTTAGCTCGCAGTTTGCCGCGTCTTTTTTTCTTAATGGCCTCCCGTAATCTTCTTATTTGGTCTGCGTAGTAAGAACCCGTAATAATGGCTCCCTTTTCCAAATATTCCACCATAATTATGCCTAGAGCGTCCCAAAAAACAGATGCCATAACCTTTCCCGCTGAACTTGAAACTTTGAATTTCTTTGGCGTCGGTGAGTAGGTCGCTTCAAGTCATCGATTGTTGTTTCGTTTCAGGGTCTAAATGGTGGATCCAGGTCTCGTCCATAGTCACAAAACGGAACAAAAAAATTTCTTGATTTGCTTTGAACTTTTCGAGATTGACCCTCGAAATGTCAACTCGATTTTTCTTTTGCTCATCGGTTAACATTCTGGGTACCCAACGCGCAGAGACCTTTTTCATATGCAACTCGTTCGCAAGTATTCTTTGAACGCTGCCATATGAGATCCCTATGACCTCAGCTACATGCCTGATGGTCACTCTTCGATCTGACAACACAATATCTTCGACTTTTTTCACGTTGTCTTCAGTGAGGGACGTGGATGGGCGTCCTTCGCGATGTTCATCTTCAGTGGATGTTCTGGCCAGTTTAAACTCCTTGGCCCAGCGTGCATCTGTAGAATATGGAGGAGCAGAGTCCCCCAATGTTCCCACTAAGACGCTGTGTATGTCTTTTGAAGACATTTTTTTTCAAACAGAGGTACTTGATGACAGCTCTAATTTCGTTGTTCTCCATGTTGATGTTATCTCTTTGACAGTTCGTATTCAAATGAATGTATCTCTCTTTTTTTTTGCGCCCGAAGCAAATATGGGCAACCCTCCGGAAAGCGGGAGAGGGAGGTTGGGAATGCTCATAGCATACCACGCAGCCGGCTGCGTGGTTATGTGGTGACTTTTACCCACTAAACCCAACCTTTTAGGAACTGGCTTAACGATCTGACTAGAGATCTCTAAGCCGTATACGAACGCGACCCTCCTTGGCAGAAAGGAGGGCGCAAATGTATCTCTCGGAAATCGTGATCTATTTATATGATTTTTTTAGGCTGACGTAGTGAGTATATAAGCAAGCAAAAAATATTTTTTTAGATTTTTATGCAGACCTGAAGTAACCGATTATCATTACTTTTGGATCACCCCTCGTATTACTATGGTTTATTTATTATCAAAGGCATCATTGGCAAGTTGACTGATATAAAATTAAAAGGAAACACAAAACAACAATATTTAAACTTAGCAATATCAAAATTATAATTATCAAAACGTTAACGATTAGGTACGAAAACCGGAACTATTCTTCTAATTCAGCGCCACCAGCAGCTTCTGATTCTTCTATGGCGCTGCTATGCTTAATTTTTTTGTAAAAATCATGGTATCTTGGTGGGATTAAGTCCTTGTATTTAGCCGTAATAGTGGGTAAAGTCTCACCATAAACTTTTCCAAGTTCTTGTGTATTATTATTGACTTGCAAAACTCGTCTGCTTGTCCTCTTGGAACTGTTGATACACATGGCTGACCTCTCATTCAAATAGTATTTATAATTTTTTTTAAAGGCGGACAAATTTAAATGTCCATTTCTATTGTGATGTTTTTTTTAAGTCGAGTGTAAATGTCTTCATTTACGTGCCAGATTTTTTTCATTATTTTGAAATTTGAAATAATTTTAATACAGACTTTTAGATAGGGCTGATCAGCTCAGCTCATCTTTGTAAAAAAAATACATTTTCATAAAAATGTAGATGTCCATTTCTACTTTGCTGCCATCGATATGACACGTGTTTCCATCCTCAGGTGCCTCGTGTAGTGATCGCCTCTACAGGAGGCACCTGAGGATTTTATTTTATTGAGCGGATGTTTGCGAGGTAATTCTTACCAATTTGGATTTTTTACAAACTAGATTTCCGGAAAGTAACGTCTGATTCTATTAATTCACTTCTGGTAAGCTTACAAATGTTTCTTTCTCCTTGTTTGTGTTAGTTGGTTGACGACAGTAGTCAAATGGTGGATTCGAACCTATGACCTTTTGAGTTGACACCACCCTTTCATTATGCTATAGCTGTTGCGATGGACTGTAATTTTATTTGTCATTTCAGTTCTATAACAAAAATTGTTGGGTGGGGACAATGTCCAACAGTGGACTATTAGTAGGCATTGATACATGTCAGTAATCAATGAATGTTAACATAGCCAACTAATTTTTTTTATAGAATTACGGTGACTAACGAGCACACAGTCCACCTGATGGTAAGTGGATCCTGTGACCCATAGATATCTACATTTAACCTCGATTAAGAATCAAAATGCAGATGAGTGCCCATGAGGACTAAGATGGAATGCCTCAATTGCAGTAAAACAGGTCTCCAGTTCTCTACACTCACCATACGAAACACAACAGCATCATGCTGCTATTTTACGCTGGTATTCTGTCAGAGTGTGGTGCTTCCCGACCCTTTCATGCTACAATCATAATATAACTGCAGCGTGGCTCTACCACATATAAATATTATTATTAATTTAAAACCACGTATTATAAGTATTAATTTAAACTTATTTTTCTCCCTTTCAGCTGTTTCTTCTAGCACTGTCAAGGTATACAAAAGATGAGAGGGAGAAAATGGTACTTGAGTACCTTTGTAGCAAAGAAGGATCCCCTGCCTACACAACTCATATATTAAATAAGAATTTATGTATATTAGACCTCTTTGCAATATTTAAAACGTGCAAACCGCCGATAGAAGTGGTTTTGGAACATCTTCCTAGATTATTACCTAGACCATACTCTATTGTGAATAGTGCACTAGCTAATTCTAATCTACTGAAAATTTGTTTTTCTGTAATGAATATAGGTAATAATAGGAAAGGTCTTGTTACTGGCTGGTTAGAACAGATAATAAAGGAGCCCAGCCTTGAAGACTTGATAACAAATATTAATTTAAAAGATGACAAAGTAACTCTAGTTCACAAAGTTCCGATTTACTTAAGAAAGAATATTAATCAATTTAGTTTTCCTGAAGTTTGTACAAGTCCTTTACTCTTAATTGGGCCAGGTACCGGGGTTGCCCCATATATTGGTTTACTTGAGCAAAAGGAATATCAGGGTAATAAGGATCTGGGTATGATTTGGTTGTTTTTTGGATGTAGAAATCCAAATCTAGATTTCATTTATAAAAAGGAGCTTGAAAACTTTGTGTCTAAGGGTGTTTTGAATAAACTAACCACGTCATTTTCAAGATGGGAAGGTTGCAATAGTAAAAAATATATTCAGGTAAATATAAATGTAATAGTGTTACTTTAAGGCACATCTACTCCTTATATCTGAGGGTGTTAATGTCCTCTAGAAAGAATTTCGGTGCTGCTCGTAACAGAGACTTAACCTTCTGCGCAGGACAAGATTATAGTACCCAAGTGTGTACGCAAGCACAGGTGCACTTTCTGTTCCTTGATTTTCATTGTCCGATGGGACGGTAATCCACACGACCGATAGCGGTCAGGCACAAGGCCTACGGCTTTATGTGTTTTCCCAGGGGGGTAAAACACCACTAATTTTTCACTTAGACAGTTATCGAGAATTTCTTTTTGACAACGTCTTTAAATGTGTTTTCCCAGGGCGGTAAATCGACACCAAAGGTAATTTTTCACTTAGACAGTTATCGAGAATTTCTTTTTTAATTTCAAATTCTTTAAAAAAAATGTTGGTTTCCTCACGGTGTTTTCCATAATTGGCGTGTACGTGGTAAATCGACACTTAAAACAGCTTGAGAAACACTTAGTAATTCTGAAATTGGTTATTTTATTGATGCCAAAAGGCGGTGATCAAACACGTAGGTTTGCAAAATTGTGCGGCGAGCTGCTTTTACGCCCTGATGCCTATCACAGTTCGGCTGCGCTACCCCAAGCGGCTAAATATACGGCGGATGATTTATTTACTAGTTTGCCAATTTCAATTTGGGGCCCGTTTTACAGGAGTCAATAACGGAAATGTTATAATATTAGGCTCCTTGAAAAGTTCGCAAGACCCCAGGTTTGGTTGGTTGATTTTAGATTCCTTTTCGGCCAGTATGTTTACACAGCAAAGTTCAAAAATGAATTTGCAGACGTAGCGAACTTTTTATTATAAGTTATTTTTTCACAGTTTTAAAACGATCTTCATAAACTGACTGAATAGAACGACTACGCAGGTTGACATTAATAATGCCAATATAATATAAACTTCTTTTTCAGGAATCAATACTGCAGAACGGTGAAGAAGTGTCGAAGCTACTAAAAGAAGGTGCAAAAGTTTACATATGTGGTAATGTGAGGACTATGGCGGCACAAGTGAAGGAAACTTTAGTGAAGTGTTTGGTCGAGTACACTAGCAACACACAGGAGGAAGCCGAAAAATTTATAAGTAATTTGCAAAAAAATAAGAGATATCTAGTTGATTCATGGAATTAAATATTGTTTTGTTACATTTTTGGTAGTTTTTGTTTGAAAACTTAAAAACGAAACAGTACAAACATTCCATGACAAACATAGAAATACAAGGAGATCATTATAATAAAATGCTATAAACAACATTTTATATGAAAAAATGAATATATAACAAAGGCAATACTTACACAAGACAATAGAGCTTAAAAATGTACTGATAGTGAAATTAGCAATATTATACAAAGCCTTGATTTTACACAATGTAAAAAAATATATATTTATCTTAGATTTCGTAAAAAGTAAACGAGAAATATTGATTTCTATTTATAAAATTGCATTATAAATTTTATATTTCAATTTTAAGAATATTTTTTTGTCTGTCTCAAATCTGCAAAACGCTGTCCGCCATATTAGAGACTGTCGTGACGTCACTGATCCCGCCTAAGGGTCTTGGTGTTTTGTGTCACTGATTAAGAGAATTAGCTAATGTGGTGTGTTATTTCGAAAATTTTCTCACTCAATAATCAAATGATAATTTATAATTAAGTTATCATTCTATTATTGAGTTTTATACCGAATTTTATTGAAATGCATCATGGAAGAGGAATTCGTAAAAGCAGAAAGTACTAGTCTACCAAGCATAAATAAATTGATGGCAAAATTATTTGCATGCATTTTTTGTTCTGCTGAGTTGAGGAATGTTAAAACATCAATGTAAGTACCTACCTATTATTATTATTCAAAATAGAAAGAAGATAAGTTTTTGTAGATTCACTGCTATTAGTAATGAAAGAATAAGGAATTCAATCAATCCCTCGTAAAGAGTCTTTAAGGGCACTAAGAATGGTAGATATAACTCCTCATAAGAGAAAGGGGAGTCAAAACTGTGTTGATGCTGCAGCGGTGCAGGCTCTGTGAATGAAATGCTATACATGTTTTGCAGACTAATTATGGATGAGTCCTAGGCGACAGTGACACAGAATTTAAGCCATCCAGCCTTTTTTCGCCAGATAGTAATTTTAATGTTTCAGCAGCAATTTTTTTTGTAAAAAATATGGTTTTCAAAATTCAAAGTGTGTATATCTTAATTCAGCCTCCTTTCTCTTCTTACATGCTACAGAACAATCTTGATCCCACCAAGGCGTTGAAGGGGCATTATTTTTATAAGGTTTTTTGGTGGGTATTGTGTCTCGTAATTTCGTATGGTGAGTGTAGAGAACCTGAGACTCTTTTTACTGGAAACGAGGTCCTCCTCACGGGTGTCAACGCATCTGAATTTTGATTCGTAATCGAGGATAGATGTAGATGTATGGGCCACATCAAAGACTTACCATCTCGTGGACTGTGTACTCGTTTGTCACCCTATCCTATAAAAAAAATTGTCTTATCGGCAGCAGGTAAAATAGCATTAAAAAAAAAGTATACCTGAAAAACAGTTCCTTTAATGAATAGGAGGAAGGGCTGAAAGTGCTTCCTTTAGAACTGTGGAATACAGATGCCAATTTGCTTTGTATGTGTTATATTTTAACCTGGGTTTAAATGAAGGATTGATTGTATGAGAGTTAAGGGAATTGATAGCAATGGGGAAGTGATCGCTGCCATGGGATTAGGGTAATATTCTCCAAGAAAGAAGGGAAGACAGGGCAGGAGAACAAAGTGGCAGGTCTACAGCACTTTTAAGGTTTTGGAGAGAGGAACTCTACGTGTAGGTGAACCATCACTAAGAAGACCATAGATAAATAGATATGTAGGAAAATGACAAAGATCTAATTCTAAATCAATGATATCTAAAAATGTAGAGGATCAGGGATCACAAAAATGGGAGCCCCATGAAGTATGGTTCATATTAAAATGACCATAGGAGTGGAGGCCGGAGGATGAGACCAGAGGGATGAAGGATATATTCCTCGTGAGTTCTGATAAGATATTGAACTAGGTTCAGGAATGTAAATAGCAAGGAAAGAAAGCTATGAGCTCTAACTGCCACAGCATTAATTGAAGAACCATGAGAAGGAAGGGAAATGAATGTACTTACAAGTAACTGATCTTGCGATAATAATGAAAAAGCTAGCGTGACCATCATTCCTATCATCCCTGAGGCATGAATAATCTGAGACCCTAAAATGGGACCCAGGCAATAGCCATGTCTCCTGGATGGTTAGGATGAGGGGATGATATTTGTAATAAGATGGATTAATTAGTTTTTCTTATTTTAGTGCTCTGGCATTTTCACTGAAGTATTGGAAGTAAGGTTATTCGTTAATGAAATGAGCTCAGTAAGTTTTTGACGGAGGACAAATGGGAGATCCATTCCACTGAAACGGGATAACATATTTATAAGCATGGGAATCATTAATTCGCAGAGATTGTCATTAGGAGAAATACTCCGCTCTATTAAAGCACAGCCATTAGCGGTTGAAGAAGGAGTATCTATGATTGCCTCATGTGCAGATTTATCATATCAATAACTTGATGCTAGATTTGGCGGGAGTCTTGGAGCGAATGAAGACTTCCTGTAAGAATGGAATTGTAAGGGAGCAACTGAAGGTTTAAAATGGGATAGAGACTGATGACTATCTGAAGGAAGGGATCGAGGAGTATCTGCATAAGTTCTCCGGACTTGAGGGAAGCGGACAGAAGCTTCTAAATAGGAAATATTCTCCAGGGACATTGCAAGTTTGACAGATTTCTACTTAGAATGTTCAGGGCAGGAAGGATCTTTAGCTGTATGAGAGATCCTGAACAAAAAAGGCAAGTAGGAGACTGTCTTTTGCATGATATTCCTTCATAATTTTGAGCACATACAAAATAACGGGAAGATGACGTACACTGTGAAGTAACATTTCCAAAACTACAACATTTGTGACATTGAATAAGTGGTAAAATGTAGCGCTCAATAGGCATTGACGTGAAAAAGCAATAACTGTTAGAAGGAAGTTTCTGGCCAAAAAAATGCTAAAACAACTGTTCGAGATGGAATCCACGCAGTGTTATGGTTTTCGTTAACTGATTTTCCATTAAATCGGTGAGTTTTAATGATTCAGCCAAAACCAGCAGGGACCTTGATTGATGAAATTAAGTTCTCTGATGTCCACTCTAGAGGGACCTGTCTCACTATTCCCATGCGAGTGACATTATAAGAGGGAATTACAGTATCATATTTAGCACCTGCAAGGGTTGGGTTCTCTATAAAAAATTTGCGTCGGCTGCACTTTTAAATATCGACTGAGATTCTATTGCGCCCCACTCGCTTAACAACGTCACTAACAACATTTTTAATATTATTATGGTAGATAAAGTGACCAAACTTTATCGGTTTTAAATCTACTCCGAATGATAAATCGTCTACGATCTTACTTAATAATAGTAATAATGTCCTCCAGACCTAATTTCGGCCACGGCGGTCTGCCTCAGCGGAAGCTAGTCATCGGCGCAGGACAAAATTATAGTGCCCAAGTGTATGCGCAAGCACAGGTGCACTCTCTATTCCCTCACTATCATAATCCGATGGGACGGTAAACCGACACGACCGGAGAGAGATCAGGTACAGGACCAACGGCTTTACGTGCTTTCCGAGGAACGGAGGTGAGACACCGCCAACTTCCTGACTCCGGGCTACTACTGAGAATTTCTTGACGGAAAAACTCAATAGCTAATTAGTTTTTTTTGGCCCGACCCAGGACCTCATGATCACCAGTCATACAGCCACTAGACCAACAAGGCAGTCACTATCTTACTTACATGTACAATAAAAGGCGCATTGTCGTCGTTAGAGTATGTTTTTTTTTGCTACGAGGGTGGATTGAAAAGTACTCAGCCTAACCAAGAAAATAAACACATACTAAATCAGTTATATTTTTATTTTTCTACATAATCACCATCAAGTTCAATACACTTTTGCCACCTCCCCTTCCAAGCATTTAGACCGTTGAAAAAAAATGATTCTTCCTTAGAGTCAAAATATGCGTCTACAGCTGCTTTGACCTCGTCGTTTGTCGAAAATCTTTGACCTCCCAAGTGCTTTTTTAGGTTAGGGAACAGAAAGAAGTCTGATGGTGCCAGATCAGGTGAATACGGCGGATGCGGTAACAGTTCAAAGCCACAGTTGTGAATTTCAGCCATTGACTGTACTGACGTGTGAACACGGGCGTTATCTTGATGAAACAGGACTTTTCTTCTGAGCATTCCTCGACGTTTTTCTTTTATTTCCTCTCGTAAACGACGTAGTAAGGTGCAGTAGTAATCAGAGTTTATAGTCTGACCCCTTTCAAGATAATCAATCATAATCACACCTTTCGAGTCCCAGAATACTGAAGCCATCACCTTATTTGCCAACAAAATCGACTTAGCCTTTTTTAGGGGGTGGTGAACCAGGTCTTCTCCACTGTTTTGATTGTTGTTTTGTTTCCGGTGTACAGTAATGAACCCATGTTTCGTCCATAGTAACAAAACGATTAAAAAAATCATCTGCATCGGCTTCAAATAACTCCAAACAGTCGCGTGAAATAGTCAATCGCGTCCTTTTTTGTTCAACTAAAAGCAGTCGTGGAACCCACCTCGCAGACACCTTGTGGAAACCCAACTCGTTGACAATGATGTTTTGAGTTCGTTCATAAGAGATGCCTATAATCTCGGCTATCTCTCTAATTTTTAATCTGCGGTCTCCCATTATTAAATCAAGTACTTTTTTAATATTTTCGTCAGTAGTTGACGTCGAAGGCCTTCCAGAGAGGGGTTCATCTTTCACACTCTCTCTACCACGCTTAAATTCTGCTATCCATTTTTTGACGGATGAATATGACAGAACACAATCGCCTAATGTACTGACCATGTCATCATGGATGGCTTTTGATGATAGCCCCTTCTTATGGAGGTACTTAATGACGGCACGCTGCTCGATTTGCTCCATTCGCGGAAATTATGTCCGATTACTTTGTTAATAAATTTATAAAATCACAACTAATTATCGCACACGTTTCGAACTTCACACAATGAACTAGTCTGAACTGAACTAAATAATGTGG